AACAATTGATCTATACCTTTTTTGTCGGCTTTAATAAGTTTTTTCTTCTTTTCTTACAGGTGGTTTTACATTAATCTTAGTAGATTTGGAAAAAGCGTATGGTAGAGTGAACCGAAAAGTATTTTGGGAGGCATAAGTATATGGGGTAGGAGGAAGGCTTTTCAATGTTGTTAAGGCATTCTATGAGAACAGCAGAGCAACTCCAAGAGTAAATGGGAAAGAAATGTGAAACATTTGAAATAAATGTGGGTGCTAAACAGGGATGCGTTATGTCCCCGTACTTGTTCAATATAGACATGGATGTGAACTTATTACACTGGTGAAAGTGGTGATAATAAGCTTCATTACAGGCTGCATACATCTTAAGTCCTGATTACAAGGGAGCCAACTTGCCACTGCTTCTGTTTATGTTTTATATGTATTATATGGGTACAGAGGAACCAAGTTGCCATTGGTTGTGTTTTTGTTTGGGCTCTGATCCTCTGAGTCTAACTAGTTTAGATCATCTATTATACTGGTGCAGAGGAGCCAAGTTGCCTTTGCACATATCTCTCTCTCTCTCTCTCTCTCTCTCTCTCTCTCTCTCTCTCTCTCTCTCTCTCTCTCTCTCTCTCTCTCTCTCCAACTGTACTTAGATGAAATTCTTAAGACTTTCACCGGCGAATAAATCATTGTAGGGGCACGTGATCCATGTATAGTATATGCTGATAACCACATAGGAAACAAGAAAACACGAAGTTCCCAAGCGCTTCCGTGTAATTCACATTAGTCTGTACTCATCCATGGAGATGTATAGAAAAACAAATGAGACACTTTGGTCTTATAATTAAGAATGAAGGCATAATATGAGAAACATTAATGGGCAAAGTTAAGGGTAAGAGGGCCAGGAGAAGGCAGAGACTGGGATGAATGAATTAAATTAAAGACTGGGTCCCTCGAGAGATACTGTACAAACTTTTGGAGGATTGGTAAAAACAACCCGAGAACGTTTAGAGTGGAGGATTGTTGTCGCCAACCTTCAGATATGAGAACGGTAGTACGTTTCATTGATTGCTAGCGCGGGTAACTTGTGATTGGTTAATGTTCCTTCAGAGTGTCTTGTTCCACAGCTGTCTCTAGTGGTAGCTTACTGGTTATAGTAAATCCTTCATTCCTCACACAATGTGGGTCAGCACTGTGTCAAATAGGCTGTCCTCAAACGTATGAAGGTTGTTCGCATCCTCTCTAGCGAACACCGAGGAAATAATCTCTTCAACGCCTTCGTCTTGTCTTGGTCAGAATCTGCATAGTTACCTTCTTCAAGCCTCAGGTCCTCTACACCTAATCGCTATTTTTAATTTTGACTTTGCGTAGCAATAAAACGCCTTTAGGTTTGACTTGACCTGCGCCTCTGGTACTCTCTTTCAGCCCTTCTACACTCTGACTTTGCTTGGTTCCTTGATCTAGCATACATCCTCCTGTCCTGCTCATCAGTTGTCCTAACTCACGTCTCGAATTTCTGAGTTTTCTTCTTAACTTTGTCGACCGTCGCATGGTTCATGGGCAGCGGTCTCCTAGTATTCCGAAAAGGCACTTGGTTTGGTCTTGGGTAAATATTTATCGATCAAATGGTTCATTTTACTGGCTATGATATTCAGTGTAGCGTCTGCTTTCTTGTTTTTATATCTTAGTGATTCAGGCCAGTGAATACCCCTCATCCCGTCGTAATTACCCTTGTAGTATTTGAATCTTGGCCTGATTTTGAGATGAATCAAGTAACAGTTAAATCTAAAGGACAACGATACGTGGTGACTGGTGTTCCAGTATTGATCACCATACCCTCCTTGTTAGTTATGATGAGGTCCAGCGGCTTGGGTGTTTGCTCTCCTCTATAATGAGTCGGATCTTTAACATGTTGCAATAGAAAATTATCTTTTAGAATTGTTACAAAAAGGGTAGCGGGATTATTAAGGTTATTTGGCGTGGTTTCATTTCGCCAGTCGATATCATGTCACCATAGTTATAGTACCCCATGACCAGGAGGTGGCTTTGTTTGAGAGTCGTTGCATTGTCAATTTAGGCTCTTAGTTCATTTGGTTTAATAACCTAAAGTTTGAGGATCTGTATAATAAATCCGACAATAAGTAAGTTTCTCCCCTTTAGTTTAATTATACGCCACTGTACCCTTACCTGGCTGACTCGAAGGTCTTCCCTAGCATATATAACCACACCCCTCTTGCAAGTTGCTTGAGAAAGGTTCGTAAATTAGCCATATCCGTCTGTAATGATCTCATATTCCTCCGGGTCAATTCTCCGGTTCATGTACAACAGAACTACCACACCTAGTATATCGGGTTGATGTACTTTTGAGAAGGGCTTCAAATTCCACTCTGTTATCAAGAAACGTGTCAGTATTAGTGTATATGACTTTCAAGCCTGAATCTGTTATAGGTAACGTTTCTGATCTTGGTAGCAATTGTTACTACTGCATGGTGCCTCTAGTTAGGAAAGGTTTTTGCAAGAACAAAAAGTGGGATTTACAATATCCGAATATAACATCTGCTATAAGCCCGGTACCTCATTTTCTCTGGAGTCAGATGACGAAGAAGAGGACGGAACCTGCGAAACCTGTGAGGCTTCAACTTTACAAAACCCTGATTTTGTTCATAACTTGACATCATCTGAACCGCACAAGAAAACTCAGAATGAACTAAACGACCTTGTCAGAGATCTGTAATTGTAAAGAGTAAGGCAGAAATGTTTGGCTCTAGACTACAGCAGTGGAATTTTCTTGCTGAAAAAGTCAGACTGTGTAAGTTTAGTGACCGTCAAAAAGATTTCGCCCCATTCTTCATCATAGAAGCTGGTCTTGTAGCCCTTAATGATATCGATGGTCTGATGGCAGCTCTCAGCATTATTCATAATCCTAAGGAGTAGAGACTGTTCATTGATTCATCGAAATTGAGTCTAAAAGCTGTTTGTTGCATGTTGGCAACGTGTCACCATCAAACCCAGTTGGCCATGCTCTCCACATGAAGGAAACATATGACAACATGAAGCAACTTTTGATCTGTAGAAACTGTAAAAAAAATCAGTGGCGATCCGAAGGTTGTTGCTATCTTGCTTGGACTAGGATAGTGGAGCAAGGACTTCCCATTACATCAAGAGGGATTGGCCACGCCGACTCTCATTGGAACCTTGAACAAAAAATTTTCAGTATTCTCCACTTGTAGAATCAAGCAAGATTTTTTTACCACCCTTACACATCAAACTGGGCCTCATGAAGAATTTTGTTAAGGCTATGGATAAAACAGGGGTAGCCTCTAAGTACCTCGGTAGTAAATTAAAAAATCTCAGTGAAGCAAAAATCATGGAGGGTGTTTTCGTTGGTCCACAGTTCCACGAGCTCCTGGGATATGAGGAGTTTGACCGTATCCTGAGTGGAGAAGAGAAGACAGAGTGGAATGCTTTCCGGATAGTGGCAACCAATTTTCTCGGATATACGAAAGCTGATAAATACAGGGCTGCAATATGTCTTTGAAGACAAATTTCCTCCAGTCTCATCTGATTTTTTTTCCGGCCAACTGCAGAGCAGTCAGTGATAAACATTGTGAACGTTTCCACCAGGACATCTTAGCGATAGAAAAACGTTACCAGGGAAAATGGAGCCCATCAATGTTAGCAGACTACTGCTGAACAGTAACAAGAGATGTTCCAGAACTTAAATACAAGAGATAAGCAAAAGAACGTCGGGTTTAATCAAGATAAGCAAGTGACCATTATATGTTACTAATATATTGTATACATATATACAAAAAAATAAAATAAAATTTTCTTGGAAACTGTACCTAATCAATTGTTTTTATGGTTATATTCGTTTTCAGCGCCCCGAAATCCATAAAGGAAAAACCATTTTATCTCCGAAGCCCAGAATTGGTCAATATTAGTAGACCAGTGTTATACAGTATTTAACAAAACGCCATCGGCTATGAACCACAAATAGACTTTCCTAAAAGGGAGTTGGTAATGGAACTTCTTCTTTATAGTTTCCAAGTAGGTTAGGGTTGGGTCTGCGGTTGTCTATAATATATATAAATAGGGTTATATTCTACGCATATCAGTAGAGTTTATTAAAAGTAGGAAGTGGTCAGTTAAAAAAAAAAACTAATAATTCTTTCGTGAGAAGGGAAGGGCGACCACAGATGAGGGTGAGAAAGATATTTGAGGTGCAGGCCCGTTCCTGATGACTCATTGTCAACTTGAATGGTGATTTTACTGAATGTATATCTAACAATGTATCAGCATTGATAATAAGTGACGTTGATATTTGTAGTGTTATATTCTGTATGTTTTCTTTTATAACTTTTATTGCAGAGCACGAGGAATCTCTGGGATAAGTCATCTATCACACAAATTATGTGAATCATCAGATGATATTCATGCTTGAGATACATTACAAACGGTGCGTTATAAGTAATGACTTCATTATATTTAAAGAACCCGAAAAGTGGAAATGGAATAACATATCACATAATATTCCCATGAAAATAGTATTGTAAGGGAAGAAACAAATTATGAATCTCGCGACAATGCTTATTTAATGGTTTAACTCCACGTGTTCCCCTGCTTAGTAGTCAGTGTACAAATAGAAGGTCGGGTCAACTTGTGTCAACAGTGAGTGACGTCAGTGGTATAGCAATCTATGCATAGTAGCTAAAACAACTATCTGTGCAGTGGGGGTCAAAAAGCTTCGAAATTTTACGTGTGACAAGTGACAGCCCTCATCTACCCAAATTTATCGTCCATTTTCTCATATTGTTTCCCACAAAGTATGCACAGATAGTTGTTTTAGCTACGATACAAGTCACTGACGCAACAACAGACAAGTACTGACGAAAGTAGAGGAAGGATAAAGAGAAGAAGATTACAGTGTTCTCCCGTGGTATATTTCATCAAAACTATACAGTATTTTGTTTATATCAATATACGAATCAATAAAAATAAATGTTTGAAGACTTAACAAGAGTTTATAATTTAAGTGAAAGACCAAATATGAGTATTTCGATAAAATATTTAAGTTTTCCGACTCACCAGAACAGATATTAGTATAAGAAATATAGAAATATTTTCTTGTCCTAGAAGTTCGCGTGTTTGGTAATGGACTGAGTGGCTCTTCAACAGAATCTCCTTGTCGTGCTGCATTCCAATCTTTTGTATACTTTTTTGCCAATCACACATGTATAAAATACAACTCTCAAATTTGAATTTTACAACAATAGAAGTTAGTATGTTTACATTTTCTCTCCCCGTGCGTTATCGAAGAGCCACTGAAGAGTCAAATTTCTGTATCTGTTGCACCTCCTGGTAAACAGGATATGATCGTCCCATCAGATCATACTACACGTTATCGCTGGGTGAGGTCTAGGTCCTGGGGGGTCACAGTATGGTCTAAATCCTGGATGTCAGGGTTTGGTCTAGACTCTAGATCCTTGTGTGTCAGGGTGTGGCCAAGACCCTATGTGTCAGAGTGTGATCTTGGTCTCGGGTGTCTGTGTTATCTAAATCTGTGGTTGTAAACCTTTTTGCCACCGCGGTCCCCTTGTGTCCAGTAAAATATTTCAGGGACCCTCTAGGCCTAGATAAGATATGACATCCCCCAACAGAATTTATACAATGATAAGAAAAGTGTTTTCAAAATTATGTTTATTAAACGAAAAATAGTTTGCAGTTTTTTTACTGCTGCACTACTTGATACCTATTTGTATTACAAAACATATTAAAATAAAAGATCTTATTATAATCAATGTGGATTTTTCTCAGAGTTGACTAAATATAAGCTCTATCTGCTGCTGCTGCCTCGCATTAACCCTGTCAATGTGCAGGGAGATCCGTGATAATCACACACGCTTATCATTTTCAATGTTTAACTATAACCTCGCCCAATCGGTGGTGATGAATGGTATTAACACCTTCATTGCTGCTTTATGACTTACCTGGAACTCATCACCACATTGAGCTCAGAATGTTTTCAGTGGCATTTTATTGAAACGACCTCTGGGAGTGCCATCAGATAAGTCAATGAGCTCTTCCAAGAGTTTGGATAGTGAGGTGAATGGAAGCTCTATATTAATGTTCTTTTTATGGGGTTTGTAATCCATTGGTAAGAAGTAGCTTGCTCCTTTGTTATTTCAGGAAAATAACTGTTGAAATTGACCAACATTCCTCATAGGTGTACTGTTGCCTGACGTTTGATGACGCTGAAATTCAAGTTTCCTTCTTGAATGAATAAATCAACTCGTGGGTCATGCTATTTATGCTTGCACCCTTCATCTTTTTCTTGAGCTTGCTCATTACATTGAATATGTTTGGAAGATAGCTGAGATTAGCAAGCCATTTCTCATCACCCAAAAATTCCGCTAGATCAAGCATCTTCTCCGAGAGGACAGTACACAGATCCTCCTTCACACTGAATAAGCGGTTCAGTGTCCGCCGGCAGGACACAATCTCAGGAAGTGATGGTCAGCACCTACTTCCTTACAGAGTGCAGTGAACAATCTGGAATTTATGGCCTTTGCATTAAGAAGCTCACCAGTAACGGATTATAGAGTGAGCAAATGGGGTCAACAATACAACATAAGAACATAAGACTGGAGGAAAGTGCAGCGGGCCTATTGGCCTATATAATACTAGGCAGTCCCGTTTACACCCAACCCCTATCGCTCATATATCCATCCAACCTATGTTTGAAGCTATCCAGCGTATTCGAGTTAATGATAATGTTTGGTAACTTGTTCCACTCGCTCACTCCTCTATTTCTAACCAATGTTTATCTATTTCGCGCCCAAATCTAAATTTGTCTAATTTAAAATCATTGGTACGAGTTCTCTCCAGGTTAGATAGTTTGAGTACGTTTGTAATGTCATCTTTGTTTAGCCCTGACTTTCATTTATACACCTCGATCACATGGCCCCTCACTGTACGTCTCTCGAGGCAAATTATGATGCTTTAACCTGTCTCTGTAGTCGAGGTTCCTAATACCTGGGATTAGTAAGGGATCGGATCTCAGATTTGTGACCCCTACATATGCGGTTGTGTAATTTGACATCCGCAAATTTGTATTGTTATTCTGAATTCTAGTCTAGTTTCGTTTACATTCTTGAATTATGTATAATTGGGAATTGTCCAAGTGGGATGTATCACTAATGGTTTCCGAAGAAAGTGTAGATTCTTCTCTTATTATTAAGAGCCAAATATCTACGGGTTTTTTGAGCAAGTAAATACATTACAGGTAAAGTGCTCATTGATATTATTTCTGTTTGATATAAATTGTTCTCAGATGAAAATGACGGCGAGGTGGGTGAGGCTGTGTGTTGTCGCGGTGTCACTGTTGATGTACGCCGCCTCAATGACGGAAGTGCCGTCCATCACCTCTTATAAGGTAACCCACTCATCTTTTTCTCTAAATGTTATATGCTTTTTAGCCTTCTTTTGAACACGATTAACCAAGTTCTAGTTAGATGATGAGTCAACATGGGGTCAGTATGCATACATTAGGCAGGTTGTGAAAATTTCTTCTAGAAGCATCTCTCAATCTGTGAGTCACTTGTGACTGTAGTTTAGGGAGTTGACAGATATAGTAATTTACATGGAGAAGAAACATCACGATCTGGACTCCTACTGTAAGTGATACACTCCCACCCTGGTTCTCCCGACAGGTTGTTCCGAAGTTTCCTAATGAGCTCACTAGGTACTGTCTCCTCGAAGAAGTGATACTGGGGGCAGCCAGCACCTACCTCTGTGCCATGGAATGCCTCCACCACCCAGAGTGCCTCCTTTACTGCCTCAGAGGTCAGTGCTGCCTCGTATACTCACTGTTTAATCTCCTCCAAATTATGATACTATAGGTAACGTTTGTTTGGTTTATATTGTTACTTGGATTTTCTTATATTTAAAAATAAAATATAATTACATTACAATAAGATTTCACGTCGCTCAACTATGCTGAAACAAAATGCGACATCAAATATTAATTTTGTGCTAATTATATTTGCAATATAGAAAGAAGGCAAATTAAATAGAAAACAAGACTAATAGGAAACAAGCGAAATAAAATATATTGACCCTATTTGTACCCTTCTAGTTAAGGACGGTCAAGTCGAAGGGAATGATTGAAACCCGCCTTTTGACGCACTCACGTTTTATTGATATGATCAAAAACCTGTAGAGTATAGGGCGATCATTAGTATTACATGTTGATCCATCTGATACATATTTTGTTAGTCTCACAATATTTTATCTTAAGTACAAAAGATCATTAAACATTATGACATAATTCAAAGTACATAACTCTATTAATCGTATTGCTTCAGATAAAGCAGAAAATGAGTAGAAATAATTAGTCCACAATTTTTCAGTACTGAGGGGTACGTCATCACGTAGACTGTACTTACAAGTGAGGGTCGATGTAAATCAGTATGGTGTTCCAAGACACAACAGTACTGTGTAAATTGTCTTAGCACAAAACTCAAGGACAGGAGAGGGAGGAGATGTTCTCAGTATGGCTGTAAAGTTTGGTCTGAGTGTTACGGAATGCCAGGCAGTCACCACCACCTGCAAAACTGTCTATTCAGCAGAAACCAGGACCGCTTGGCTCTAAGCATCCCTTCAGCTCGCTCCACTCCCCTTTCCTACACCTTTAATACTCTCTTAACTAAATTATTTCTAACAATTTATTAACACTGTCCACGCAGTACCCCGGGGTGGGTAACACTCGGAAACGGCTGTTCTATGGTTGCGACGTTTACAAACATCTGGTGAAGTAACCGGTCATGCAGCCACATGGGAGTCACAACACCTCTATAGTCTACAAGGGAGGTCAGAGAATGCGTGGTCGTAGGCTGAGTGAATTTTGTTTGTTTGGGTAAGGTGACACTCATAGATAACACATTAGTTGTGGTGCTGGAAGTCACTCAGTGCTGAGTTAAGGTGCTGAAGGCAACAAATGCCAGCACTGTGTTGCTAAAGCCAGCGGCGATAACATGATTCTCAAACGCTTATAAATTTCCATCATATAGATATCACCATTTTCAATTCAAATATATATATATATATATATATATATATATATATATATATATATATATATATATATATATATATATATATATATATATATATATATATATATATATATATATATATGCAAGTAAATCACTGTAGGTGCGCGTGATCCAGGAAAATGCTGATACACAAGGAAAAAAGCAAACACGAAGTTCCCAAGCGCTTTCGTGTAATTCACATCTTCAGGGGTGATTACAGACTAAGGAGAAATACATAACAAGGCATATATATACAGTAGGGTTTGACCGTTGCCCTCCAAAAATAAAAATATGGTCCTACAATGCTGTTCAAAGTTTTAGCGTTGTGTTTTTATCTAGGAAACACCCTGTAAAATTTCTTGGAGATCGGTGCATGTTTGAGCTAGCACCGTCGACTTCACAAAATAACAAGGAATATTATTATCTAATGAACAAATTCAGTAGAATTTCTCTTATTAGACTTATAAGGTATACTAACACCAAGCAAATGATCGATCATATCAATCTTAATACCCCTAAAACAATATTATAGATTAGCACGAAACACAATAATCCCAATAATTGCATTTCTAGGTTCAAGAACCATTTCTCTCAACTGGCGTACAATGAAAAAAAGAAATACTACTACCCCGCAATGCCTGGAGTGTTTGAGGAGCGCCAGCAGGTGATGGCTGACTTCTTCCGTGAAGCTCTAGCCCTACCATTTACACGTGGCGACTACAAGGAGCTGGTAGAGCTTTGTCTGCTGCTTGTAATTAAAGAATCTGAGCCAGTGAACTTCACGATGGTCTACAGTACCCCGGCGCACTTCACAAAGCAAGGTGGATGGCTAAACTGCTCTATACCCTCAAGATTGTTCTTTTGTCAGGCCAGATCAAAGAGCAGTTTCCCAAAGCCGACGTTGTGTAAAAGTCAAATCAGCAAGTTAGAACGGTTTGCTGTGTTCACAGTCGCTATTCATGTCCCATGGTGGATTGTTTGCCCCGTTCCAGCAAGTGCGCCACTGAATGACTTGAATTTGGTCGAAACCATGGCTGAATTTGCCCCATATGACGCCACAATAGTTGACAAAGCACGTGTGGCACTCGCTAGACACACTTGGTACCTAACTGAGGAGTTGGCCCCACTGCCTTTGTTCTCGTCCCAAGTACAAGAAAGGACAAAAGAGGAAATGAGGAAAGCCCTTCTTTGCCATGAAGGCACTGAAGAGTGGGTCTCAATCATGGGGGCTATGGAAAGCCATATATTCCCCCTGTCCCAAAAAGTGGCACTGCCCTGGTGGACCTAATTGGGCATGACTCAAGCCGGTTCTTCACCATTTTAGGCATGCCCTATCAGTTTCTCCACAGTCCAGCCAGTGAATGGGCGGATCATGACGACTACCTGAACATGAAACGGGTTGTGGACAAGCTTCAGGTCGTCAATGAGGCTGCAGAGCGTGGTGTAAGACTTTGTCATGACTTTTTAATGTGGCCAGGGATGAGGAGCGCTTTCAAGAAGTCCTTCAAGTAGTTGAAAATGACAGACTCCGCGTTCCTAATCAGCGCAAGCGATCATATGTTTCGGAACAGAAATCATGGTTTCTTGCTCTAAATAAATAATACCTTGTGAATAAATGATAAAACCCCTTAATGTACCATGAGAGAATAAGAATGATTAACTTTTTTGTATTAGTGATAACACCTTTTAATTAAGACAGGCAAATGATTTATGTTAATATCCCTTATGATGGTTGTGTAATCTCATATATAGGCACGTATGCCGTATAAGCAAAATCGATATTTTTCAAATTGCTGGTGCTCACTCAAATATGCATGAATCTTCACAAAATTGCATGTGGGTATTTTTTATGTCAATATGCAACACCAAAATTTTGAACAGCTTTGTAGGACAAAGTTGGGGGCAACTGTCACACCCTAATATGCAGTACAGTTGAGGAGGGTGAGATCAAGTCCCTAGGGGACAGTGAGTGTCCACAATGGTCCGGTCACTAGGCAGTGACCCTACTAATCTTCATAAGCACAGCAGCAGTCCGTAGTCAGGTCACAGGGTAAGATGACCCTGGAGATGTTCGGGGTACTTAGTTCTAACTACAGGAGCGAACACAAACACATGTAGACTTTTGTATGTTCTATTCAACGGAAATATACAAGGGTGCGCTTACAAGCACAGGTAGTCCCTACACTCCTATGTGGGTCAACTGACCTCTCTCTGACCTCTCAGGCGACATGTGGTAATTGGTACATTAGCAGCTTCCAGATGTCGCCAGGCACATTATCTAAGCTTGTGGTGACATGAAACGGGGGCATTGCCACACGCTACTGACTAGAGAAGTAATCCGTATAAGTAGGATATATACATGGTATACATACAACATACATAATACACATACAGACCCAACCTTCTCACCTGGTTACAAATCTTCTTAATTACGAAATTATCCAGTTTGTACATACCATTACTCAAATTCATGTTGACTGATTCGGTATGTTTAATGAGACTGGATTCTATAATGATCCTACTGTCTATAGATATATGAGACGAATATGCCTGTAATATGCAACTCTGTACTATTTACCATTATTGATTCAGGTCTCTGTATTATATGTTTTATAATCACACTCCCTTTTGTCACCAAGTGCTAGTTCATGCTGTGGGCACATGCTCGCTGTACGCGCATGCGCAGAGAGAGATACCCAGAGAGATTCCAAGACAGGACGCTGTTTACCCTTGTCTTAACTCCTTTTTGTGTTTGTACCAGGAATAGAACTTACGGACTTGACATCAGAGTGTTTCCTTTACCCCTGAGTGCAAGGACCACCTGAGTATCATACACTGTCAATTGAACTACATGGTAATATTGAGGAGGCATTATCCCAGTCAATGCTATGCTTATTATCCCTGAAATGAACAAACAGAGCATTGGATTCCTGGCCTGTCCTAACACTATAATTATGTTGTTTAAGTCTAGTTACAAGATCTTTACCTGTCTGGCGTAAGTAAAACATATTACATTCCTTGCAAGGAACCTTATAAATGCAGCTACCTGTATTGTTGGGGGAGTTCTTGATTAACTTTTGTTTAACAGTGCATGAGTTTTTAAATGCCACATTGACGTTCCAGGTTTTTAGTTGTAAAGGAATTTGACAGAAATTTTTGTGAAATGGTAATACTAAGAGATTTTTATAGTCATGGGTGGGCTTGGGATCGGTTCTATAGAAAGATTTCTTATTAATGTTAAGGCATTTGTCTATAAAAGATCTAGGGTACTTAAGGTTCAAGCCAATATTATAAATAAATTTATATTCCTCATCAATGAATTCCGGGCTACAAATTCTCAAAGCACGTAAAAACATTGATGAAAATACTGACTGTTTGATTCTATTATGGTGGACAGAATAATAATGTATGTATGAACACACATTAGTAGGTCTCTTATAAAAACTGAACTTAAAGGTGTTACCTATTCTGTGGATCAGACAGTCTAGGAATGGCCTAAGTAAAACATATTTCATTCCTTGCAAAGAACCTTGTAAATGCAGCCGCCTGCATTGTTGGGGGAGTTCTTGATTAACATTTGTTTTACATAGAATGAGTTTTTAAATGCCACATTGAAGTTCCAGGTTTTTAATTGTAAAGGAATTTGAGATAAATTTTTGTGAAATGGTAATACTAAGAGATTCTTATGGTCATGGGTGGGCTTGGGATCGGTTCTATAAAAAGATTTCTTCGTAATGTTAAGGCATTTGTCTATAAAAGATTAGGGTACTTAAGGTTCAAGCCAATTTTATAGATATATTTATATTTCACATCAATAAATTCCGTACTGCAGATTCTCAAAGCCCGTAATAACAATGATGAAAATACTGACTGTTTGACTCTATTATGGTGGGCAGAATAATAATGAATAATGAAATCAAAACTGAGCGGATTATAGAAACAATTTGCATATAATTAGTCGATGGTAGGGAAAAATTAATCACATGAGTAATATATAGACCTCCTAATCTTGATAGAGATAACGAGCGACATATTTGGGACAAAATGCGCAGGGCTTCTATACATAGTAAAGTCTGTATAGTAGGCGACGATAACATTAGCTAAATAGTTTGGATTGACCATACGGGTAACTCAGAATCAGAGGATTTTCCTGAAAAGATCCAGGACTGTTTCCTAAGTCCATATAACCGAACCCAGCCTGGGTAATAATATACTCGATTTACTTCTGTCGAACAGAGAAAACCTCATTAGTAATGCCGAGGTAGGGACCGAACTTAGAAACAGCGATCACAAGGAAATTAGTTTCCAATTTGAATTTCAGGACAGCCGAAAGGAAAATTCCACTGATTTCCCAGATTTCAGAAGGACAAACTTTTATAGTTTGAAGAGGCAGCTGAGAGAGGAGTTGACACGATTGCGGGTGAACTACATGACCTCACATGAGTGACCTTACACTATGTACCCACAGAGGGCGACCTCACCCTATCCGGAGACCTGAAGGTTGAGATTGACCTGATAAGGAGATCTGAGGTTGCTGAGTTCCACGACAATTTAAATAATGAATTACTTAATGCACAAAGGCAGAACTTACCATACAAAAACTCAGATAAAAAACAATGACCCTAAATGGATAAATAACTATTTAAAGAACATTATTGGACAAAGGAAGGCTATAGGTAGGAGAATTAATCGTGGTGAAGTTTACCTTTAAGATTCTTATAGAGGTATTGGCCGGTAGGGTTAAGACCGAGATAAGAAAAGCCAAGAGGAATAATGAGCTCAAGATAGCAAGGGAGGCAAAGTCAAACCCCAAGGGATTCTATGAAATGTATCAAACTAAAACACGAGAAAAGATTGGACCAATACAGTCAGATACCGGCGAGGTAATTGATAACGACTGAGAAATGAGCAATAAACTGAATAAATATTTTTCAACAGTTTTCACCACCGAAAATTTAAATATGATACCCGAGGCTC